GGCAAAAGGGGGTCCAACCCGTTACTAGCGTGGTGTACCTAATAAAGTGGCCGGTGAGTGTAGTTTGTCATATTAACTTTAAAAAGTAAAACAAAACAAAACATAATGTCCACGACAAATGTATTTCTCCAGAGTGGGGGTCTGACAGAAAAAGTTTCATTACCATGGTAATAAAGAGTCTTATTTGCATGAAACAGCCTCCACCTGTCCTCCTCCTCCTCCTCCTCCCCCCCCTCCCCCTCCCCCGGCGGGTGTGTACTGGCCCTTTAAGAGGAATAAGGACAACGCAGCTCCGCACCAGCCGCCGAGCGCGTTCGACATCGCCGCGCGCTCAACATTTCCTCGGTAATTTTACACTCCCAGCGGCCGCAGGACGGTTCAWTTACCTCCATCGTGATTTAAGGAAGTCAATTAGCGCCAAGTGTGCCTAAACGTTTTAAATCTTAGCSGGGAGAAATGCGGCACCCGGCGGGTTGGCGCTCTGGTGCGTAATTGATTCGGTAAGTCTTTTTAACATTTGTGTCATCATCGTTCTCTTCTGTTTACATCGTCTGCCGAGCTAGCTAACCCACATCTTATTTACCATGTAAGTGGTTACATTTAATTGTTTTGTTTTTACAGTACAGGTTTATGGCAGTGAAGAGGAGTTTCGCTGTACAAAAGTTGCCTTTGTGTATTACTGCAGTGGCCATCTTTGGAGTCCACTTTGACACTACCTAGAAATAATATARTATTTGCTTTTCAGTGCTAAAACATTAGCACTGAAAAGCATTTAAGTTACATTTTTTTATTTAAACATAAATGATGCCTCTATATTAGTAATATAAAGGCATTATTGTAATTTAAACTAATGACACTAATGTTAATGTAAGACAGCTCAGCTTTATATTGGTAAAAGACACAAATATACGTCCCATACTGCTGTTTTATTGCTAAATAAAATTTATTGTCTCTTTTTTTTTGTTTGTTTGCTTCCTGGTTAACACATCACAATGAGGAGGGCAGAGTATGCCTGCATTATCTACCCTTTTCATAGCTTATCTCCACAGATCATATTACACGCCRACAGAGGAGATGCTGCACTGGATATTTGTGCAACAATCAGCTTTCTGTCTGTGTTAACAGTCTTCACAACAAATCCTGCTGCAGCCACAGGCATCCATATCTTCTCATGATAAATCAATGATGAAGACTCTTAGTGTGTTGACAATAACGCTCACTACACCGAATTTAGCTCTGTACAACAAAAACAACTAGTGACGCAATATGTGTAAAACTGACTCAAATAGTGTTTTTTAAAGTCATTTGGCTATGGTGGCCATCTTGAATTAGATTTTCTCCAAATAAATCAATTACAGATATACTATGTATATCACAAAAGTGTCTGTTTCATGAGATATTTTTCTAACAGACAGTTCAAATAGTAAATGGGTAAATCTGTTAGCATTAGCAATAGGTATGTGTTATAGATCAGCCTTAGCTAGTACCAAACCAAATCATTGGTCCATATCAGTAAAACTGARTGAGTTATACCCATGTTTGTGTAACCTGGCAGCCATCTTGAATTGTGGTGTCTCCACTTGTGGATCTGTTGATCAAAAACATCACTTTTTGCTTTCGGCAGTGAGTGATACACGTAGTAGGAGGCAYAAATGTCTTTGGAGGTCTACTCTTGGTTCCCTTTGTTGTTGTTTGTTTCTGGGAAGCAGAACTATTAAATTGCATCCATTAAAGGCTAAATGCAACCCCATTTAGATAAGTAGATTGGAAGTCTACTCTTCTTTGCTATCAGGTTTTCTTAAAGTTGMATCTATGCATGGCTTACTTTAACATCATGGTAAATAAATAATCCTCAGATGTTCAAAGGACTGTAATTTTACTTTTGGCTCCCGATGACTCAGAAGGAAACTTTGAGGGAAGCTGATTTGTTTTCAGCTTCCTGCCTTTTGATGTTTCTGGACATCTTGCAGGGCTCGGTCACCTTTTTCCGCTCATCTGGACCCGGGAGAGCTTCAYATAGGAAGCCACGAGCGTAAACAATAATGGAAGACAAGCGTAAGAAGCGCAGCCCCAAGGTGTCCCTCCCCCAGCCGCCTCCTCCGCCGATCAACCCCCGCAAGCTGTCTGTCCTGCCGGCCAGCAAAAGTGCCACCTTCTCCCTCGGCCTGCCGCAGCCCCCCTCCCCTAAGAACAGGAGCAAGTATAAAAGATCCATAGGAGCTCCGGGACAGCCAAAAGAGGTGTTCACCACCGTCATGCCCCCYCCGAAGACCACCAGGTGTGCATCTTTAATGTCACTTGATGAGAATTTCACCATTAAAGCAAACTAGAAGATCAATGAAACTAGAGAAAAAGCATTTCCTGCAGTGTGTGTGCACGGTTTAATTTAACAAAACGTCTTGTTTTCTGTCTGTCAGACCCCACAGGGAGAAACCCAGAGCACCTCAGCCAGCAGGACCCAGTAAGGTAGTCCAGTCTTCCCCCCTGCAGCACTCCTTCCTCACAGACGTCTCAGACGTCAGAGAAATGGAAGGAGGCCTCCTCAACCTTCTTAATGATTTCCACTCAGGCAAATTACAGGCTTTCGGTAAGATAATCTGGATGTGAGAGCCCCCTGCGGGCGTATTCTGTTACACGTTAAAAATAAGATGCTTCAGAAGCTGCTTTGTTGCTTGAAATAGGATGAAATCAAATAACAGAGAGGCTATRTTTTTTTATTTTTTACAAAAAAGCTGCCAGGTGATACTTCTGACTTTGCAGTGTTTGTCTGGTTTTTAGGTAAAGTTTGCTCCTTCGAGCAGCTGGAACATGTGCGCGAGATGCAGGAGAAGCTGGCGCGGCTGCACTTCAGCCTCGACAGCCACGTGGAGGAGCTCTCTGAGGATCAGAAGAAGTGCGCCTCCGACCACAACCTGGAACACCTGCTCTGTAACGTAAGTCAGGAGCTTATCTCAGGAAGCAGATTTAACAAACTCTTGGAGTCAGAAACACGGAAATGYAAACTCAATTTGGGTTCCAGAGAAGAAAATCAGACGTTCAACTAACACTGGGGCATTATCGCCATCAAAAGTTAAAAAAACCATACAACTCACCACATTTAACGGGGCAATATCATGTAAAATCAACCTTTTTGAGTTTTATTTCATGTTATAATGTTATCCGTTCATCAAAAACATGCCCAGAGTTTTACTTTGACTCATTCATGCATGTTTGAGAAATCCTGTAGTGTCCAAAGGGAGCCAGGCAGGGGAGCAAAAACAACCGGTTGGGACTAGAACCGCCTTTTGGGACCAGCTCCTCCTCTGGGCTGTGTCTCCAAGCTGAGCTTCCTCATCACAGAGCACACACCCCCTCCTGCCCTGTGCTTAAATGGGTGGGACAGAAGAAGGAGGTTCTTAAAGAGACAGTCCCATTTTAGAAACAGATATGATGAGAAGCCATGTTTATTTTCTATTTAAACAAATAAACAGCGTTTTAATAACAACTGAAGGTGACGTAGTTTTATTATGGTATAGAATTTAAATATATGCCTGAGAAATACACAATATTGCCCCTTAAAAATAAAAGAGGAGAAAGGAGTAAAAATGAAAACAAATTTTATATTTGATGCAGTTTAATCCACTCATTAGTTTACCATAATACAAATTTAAATAAAACTAAAACCCTGCTGGAAAAGATTTTTAAATTTCATCTATACTTGTTACAAAAAGTAAGAAAATTTGTGTTTGGTAAATTATTTCTTTGTTGTAACAATGCTTCTTGGTAATAAATCTTATACTGGACACCAGATTGGCAGCACCTGGGGGGAACCAGTAGCTCAAAACAAGGAAACGGTAAAATAATCTGTTTGGCGGAAATTTGGCAAATTGTTCATGTGTGCAGCCCACATCCTCAGCTCTACTGCTCATCCCACTAATGCATGTTCCTTACAAATGTGGCACCTTTTTTTTAAAAAGTGAATTTAACAGGATTTCCAACAGTACAAGATTTATTGCCAAGAAGCATTGTTACAACAAAGAAATAACCTACCAAACACACATTTCCTTACTTTTTATGTTAAGTTTAGCTTAAATGATGCAGAAACCCATGATCCTAAGGTCCCTTTCTGACCCAATATGAGTTTAACGTTGAAAATATGCCTCAGTTTAAACACTGACAAGAGAAACTGTTAATTAAATGTGTAAATATTTAAGCACAAAGTAATATTTAACACATTTTAGTCAGATTTAACAGTCAAATTACCAAGTAACAGCTGCTGTAACGTCCATGAGTTTGTTTAAAAAAAAAAACTACATGATTGATCATAAAGCAGTCACGTTAATGTCTGTAATGTTCTGTGCGCCTCAGTCTGACTGGAATTTAAATGGTGTTTTAAGCAGCGGCTGAACACAGAGGAGCTGAGCTAATTTTCTTATCATAATAGAGGTCATAAAAAGGTCTAATTAGAGGAAGTTCTTCCTGAGGCTCAAAACTGCAGCTGATCTGGGAGTATAAGGTTTCCTGCTGTCGGAGCGCACAGAGTGAAAGATATTCTTCCCACTTTGACTCGTCTGGAAGCAGGAAGCTGCTCATCACTGACAGACGCAGAGACAAAACAGTCTCGACGCAGGCGGTCCGAGGAAGAGACCAGAAAAATGTTAGTTAATCTGAGAAAAATCTTGTCAGAGAAAACTAGTTTTTATTTGTTTCTTTAGGGAGGAGTTTAGAAATGTTTTTAATGAAATCTGAACAGCTCAGATTGATGGTTCCTYTGATAACTCGTGAGTTTTCTCATCTTTTTATAAAAAAAGCCATATTTGTAAAACTCCACAGCAGGTCCACAACATATTAGGATTTTTTTAAACTACTAAATATCCTAAAAAACACTTTTGAGCTTTAGAATCAAATAGTTTTTGTGGTGAATAATTATTAAATGTGAATTTCCTTTAGAATAACACATTCAAGTTTTCAATCAAATGTAATGCTATCAAGAAACCAGGGAAATTATTTTAGCATTAGCAAAAGTAGCAAAAAAAACCCCTAGATTAGCAACACCATAGATATGTGTTAAAATGAGTAAAAATTAAATTGGCAAAACCAGAGCTAAGCATGAGCAAACTGTAGCAAGAGGCTAGAGCGAGCAAACCCAAAATTAAAATGAGCAAAACATAACTTGAAGCTAAAACAAGTAAAACCAAAGCTAAAACCTGAAATTAGCAGAACCGTAGCAACCATGAGCAAACTGTAGAAAAAAGCTCGAATCAGCAAAACAAAGTTAAAATTAGCAAAACATAGCTGAAACGAGCAAAACCAAAGCTAAAATTAACAGAAGCATAGCTGAAAGCTAAAATGAGCACAAGAAGACAAAAACCAAGTCGTATGCTGAAGTCGATCAGAACAGAGTTTTTGGAGGAGCTGAAGAGATCTTGATGTATTTCTGTGAAGACAATGTTTGTAAATGAAAGTAAACGATTCACAAAGTGTAAAGGTTGGAGGAACTACAAATTGTAGCACATTATTCCAGATCAAGGTGATCATTTTGATACACGAAAGGTTAATTTAGCCCAACGTGTGCAGAAGTAGTCAGACTGTAAAAGACGAGTTAAATGCTGAATCAGCTCTTAGACATTTATTCTATTCATAAATAACTCTTAATAACAGTGAGAAGCATTTGTAGACAGAGCGAGGCGCTGGATTACCCTCATCCACAGTTGCAGTTGTGTCTGAGGGAGGTGAGAAAAGTCCTTCTGTTCATTACAAATTCTGCTTCCGCTGCCAGGAATACCTGTGGGCTATGGCAGCAGCTGGATATTTGTGGCTCAGAGCAGATGGTGGGTGACTTTTCAACATTAGATAAGAGAGGAAGCTGCTTTTGTAAACACTGCAGCCAGATGACAGGAGTTTAACGCAACGATTGACCCGACAAGCGCAGGATGTTACGTAACCTGATCAAATTTACAGATCAGCGTCCCGTCTGACAGGATAATGTTTCTGTTTCTGCAGCTGGAGGAGCTCAGCACATCCATGTATCCTTTTCAGTGCATTTCAGTCATCTGTTTGGTCACTTCACAGTCTCTGTGTCAGTCCTTAACGTGTCCGTTCAGACAAAAGCTCCACTTGGCTGAGAATCAGGACCTGCCCAAGACATCTGGTCCCTGACGGAGCAGCGAGGCTCAGGACCGRGCGCTCATCTTCTCCACAACATCCAGCGAAGCCCGGGGTGCCATGGCATTAAACCTGCTGCCTTAGAAACTGAGTGGGAAGATCCTTTTTTTTTAAATGTATTTATTTGATTTGTTGTTGGAGCTGAGAGGACACACTTTAGCAAAAGTTATGAATGCCTCATTCACAGCACCAAACACCAGATGGTTTACTGAACATGTTTTTTTGCGTCGTTTTCTTGATTTTTCTAAATTTTGTTTTCAGTACTTTGTAGATTAGCTTTTGGTTGTCTGTGAATATTTATTAATTTATATTTAATTTTCGTATCATTCCTGATCTGTTGCTTTTGTTTTTAGATGGGATATGTACCATATGTGTTTGTAAATTGTCATTGTGTTAAAGTAGCACATTTATTCCTCCCTTTAAGACACCGTGGTGTTTGCAGCAGAGCGTTCAGGGTACTTTAGCCAGTAACTTGAAAGGTTTTTGTCGTCGTTGTTTTTTTATTTTTAAAAGTGTTTATTTGAAGCTAAAGAAATTACTGTACAAAATATTTCCATGTGTTGCAACCATGTTTTCATCAACCAGCTAATTTGTAAATAAGACGTTTGTGTCTTTTTAAGACCCATTAGCGGCATCTTTCCATGCTTTAGAGGTTTTACAGGTAAAATCCTCCTTTCTGTGCTGGAAAGCACGTACACAGCAACAGCGGGCAAAAATCTCTGCACAGTGCTATTTCAAATTGGCAGCTACTTCCATTGTTTTAACAATTAATAAACACGATTTTTATMTAATTCAGAACCTGGAAGTGTGACTACCGTTGTGTTCCACCTCACACAACCCGATTACAATATTTAGTTTATATGTTTGAAACCGTAGTGAATTTGGTTATTATGGCTCGACAAGTTCATATTTTAAAAATCTTAAGAGTACGAGACGTTTTCCCATCCGATTCTTTCGTCAGTTTTTTGATTTCACATGAAGAGAGGGCTCACTTGAAATGGGAGCTACTGTCAGCTTTATACAACACAATAAAAAGACTTGTTTTCAGCAATGGTGGCTGTTAATAAAGGATTTATGTAACATTCAGTATATTGTTTTTATGACTAACATCACTTCTTTGCATGTGTTTTCTAAATTTATTTATTAGTTGATGCTTTCTCCATGGTTTCATTGTTTCTCAAACTGGGGTACACAGTAAGTAGTACTCTTAAGGTGGTACACAGAGCCTGTGTGAAAAAAACAGGTTGAGGGTTTGCTTCATGTATAGAGTACAGCTCGCACTCCTGTTTTATTGTGCTACTTCAAGATAAAGTCATTGAGTTCAAACTCATAAAAAGTTTTGAAAATCAGCCTTGAATGTTGCTTACCATGACGAGTTGGCTATGAGGAGAAAGAGTTGCAAATATTTTTAAACCCCATTTCCAGTCCTGAAAGGAGTCTCACACAAGTTAGTTTTAGAGAAATAAATCTGTTTATTCGTATATCTCTTTCCTGTCGTTCACAAAGCATTTAAATATAATTTAACAACAGCGGAGTTAAAAGGCTATTAGAAGACTGGCACGATACCGAGACAGAAACAAACCGGACCTCTCAATGTTCCTCAGGAAACCTGAGGAGTAAAACTCCTTTCCTCATAAAGGAGCAGCAGGTGAAACCATCTTTGATCTAGGCATTAGTGTACACGTTTCATTCACAAAAATACAGTTTGGATTCTGCCAGGAAAATTTGGTCATGCAATTAAAAACAAAGACAAACGGTACCAACTCAACACATCATTAATATGAGACTCAGACCATTATACAATAAATTATAACTGAAACATTATACAAAGTACGTACATGTGACACTAATACTGTGCAAATACACAACTGAGCTGTTTAAAAATGTTTCGTACTAATATTAATCTCATTACACAAATCGTCTACATGACATTTCAGAAAAATATTACATCAGCAAAAATATACACCTTTAGGTTCCCTGTCTTCCTCGTCTTTTTGTGCATTTCAGTTTTACATTCTGTCAAAGTGTCTGATTAGTCAACAGTACTCGATGGAGAAAAGCTATGACAAAGAGCTACTTTTCAAAGTGCAAAGACAGCGGTGTGTGTGTGTGTGTGTGTGTGTGTGTAAGACCCGATGTTTCTGTACCAGAGGAAATATCACTGTTGAAACTTTAAGGACTTTATTGTTGTGGATATAAAAGTGCAGGCACTATAAGAAATGCAGAACATCTCTTTCTTCAAGTAAAGTCAGTGGTAATGTTCTCTTTCCACTTTCAAACACGTCTGGATTCAGATTTGTCTTTAAGATAAGGTCCTCAGGACCTCGTTTAACCCTTTAATGACACTGATGGGCTGGGAGACGGCACACTCGCTCAGGCTCGGCCCCATCTGGGCGTAGAGGGCTTGGCACAGGTTGGCCGTGGCGCCCCTCACGCTGCCGCCCCTGCCGTGAACGGTGCCGCTGTGGCTGGAGGTGCCCAGCAGGTGCCATAGCAAGGGCAAGACTTTCTGCTCCACCATTTGTGGCTTGCGAGGGTACAGCTCCGTGACGAGGCCTGCGAATGAAAACGTCTTCAGGATCAGATGCTAAAATTCAGCTGATTAAACCGTTCCGAGCTGTCGCATCAGACGAACCTGCAACCTTTTCGATCAGGTCCACCTTTGCTTTACCACTTAAAAACCGTGCCTTGGTGCAGAAAGGCTGTAGAAGTAGACTGTTGTCTGCAAAAGTTAGAAAGAAACAAGTATCAGTGATTAAATCAAAATTACGGTAACTCAAATTTTCAAATGTTTAAAAGTAATACCGAGATTCGAAGTAAGTGCATTAATAGCTCCGTTAGCAGCAGAATAGATGGCATTATTCTTGGAGTTGAGGTGATTGTCCACGATTGCTGGGATCAGGATGGTGACCACTTGGGACAAGCTGTCCTTCAGCAAATAGGTGATTTTCTGCAGGGACTCCAGGGCATAAAGGTTAACCTTGCTGTTGGACTCCTGCAGTCTGTCTTTGAAGGCATCAAACACCTGGAAGACAAGGAAAGAAAGGAGCACACAGTCATTTTTGTTAATTACAAAAAAAAAAAAAGGCAGAACAAGGCTTCTTATTATTGAATGCTTGCACTGACCGGGAATATACTATTGATGACTATACTGGGGTTGTTTTCACAGTCAGCCACTAGCTGGTCGATGCCTTTGATCCGCTCTCTGAAGTCCTTTGAACCCAGCAGACCAGAGATCTGCTTTATGTACTCAGTCTTGTCTGCAATACTCTGGGTCTGATTTTTATAGCTGCTGCGGCTGTTAGACTCCCTGCAGACGATTCAAAGCATCAAAAATGTTGGTATAAATTAAATACCTTCATTTGTTTTTGTTTCACAGGTTATAACTTCAGAGCTATACCCACTTGTTGGTCTGGTTGACTGGTTCTCCATTGAGGGATGAAGCTCTGACAGTACCACTGCCTGGAAGGGAGCGTCTCCCCCTGGCAGACTGAGTGTCCTGGGCCAGCTCACCCTGAAATCCCAGCAATCTCCAGGTTAGACCAAAGTGTGTTACAACAGAAGGATGTATCAATAAACATAAACTATACCTTTGTCTTGAGTGTCAAAAGAGTGTCTCTGACAGTCTGCAGGTCTTTGGTTGGAATATATTTCTCCAAGATCTTGTCAAAGTCAGGATGAGACGACATGGACAGCAGCATTCGACGACCGAAGTACCTGTGGGTTGAAACCGTGTTTGTCTGAAAATATTCTTATTAAAAGAAARGTGTACAAAGTACAAACCCGATATGTGCAGGAAACCATTCAGTTTTAGACTTAAATATTTATTTGCACATGCAAGGATTACCACAACCTCAAAACCTCTGTCTACAGAGACCTGAGCAAATGACCGTGAGCAGCGTGTCACTAAAGCCCCGTCTCCACGGGTGCACCTTTAATCGGCTCTCAACCTCAACCAAACGTGTCTCTATTTCCTGTCCAAACCGCTCTTTCAAAACCACCTCAACAGTGGATCCAGGCAGGTGACACCAGGTATGAAATGATTTTAACATCAACAGAACTCGCAAACTGAACTAAACTTGAACTGAACTGTAAATTTTCTGTATTGTTGCATGCTAATATATACTGTATACACATTGATTATAAAAATATTCTAAACATCTCAATAAGAAAATATGTACATGTCACGTGCATTTAAGACAAAGTAAATCAATAAAATATCTTTCACTATGTGAAGTTCTTGTGTGAGAAAAAGATMAAAATAAACCTTTACGTTTAAATAGAGCAACATTTATTCTTTCTACATACCTGGCCTCTTGAGAGGAGTCTTGTGAAAGTTTAGTGACGGCAGATAAAAATCTTTCTGTGAGGTCTTTGTTTCCAGACAGGAGACGAGCAACACCGACCTTCTCTACCAGATTAGCCAAGTGTTGAGCTGTACATTTCCTCACCATTGGACTAAGGTGACTGTCAGCAAAGAAGTTTTGTTACAAAAGGTTCAAAATCTTGTGAAACACACACACACACACACACACACACACACACACCGGTTCTAACCTCAGCCCTCCGGTGAGCAAAGCAGCGATGCTACGAGTCGGGGTGCAGTGCTGCACCATGGAGTCCAGCGCTGTGTCCACATCCTGCCTCATAAAGGTGTTACTCTCCCCCGCTTTGTGCAGCAGAGCCTTAACTGTCTCCTCCAGTTCCTGGTCCATAGCCCTCTGCAGGTGTGTGTACAGGTCGCCAAGTGTACACACCGCAACCCTAGACACACCTGACCGCAGGTTCCTCACCTTAAAGACAAATTAACTTCATTGGTTTATGGAAAAACAAAAGTATTAAAGCATAAAACAAAAGGACAAACATAAAAAAACATGACAATTAGCCGAAAGATGTTTTTTTTATTCTGGTACATTTACTGCTCCGCAGCTCTTATTAGATTTTTATTCGTAATATTTTTAAATAAATTGTCTGAGCAGTTGTATTTTTATCACCTACAGATGGCAGAAAAGCAGCAGAAAACAGGCAGCTAGGTGGTGAGAGAGTTGTCTAACAGCTGCAAAGCAATGATAATATAAAGATTTGCAAGTACTGTGATTACACCACATATATGCAGTTTACATAAAAAAAACTAATTTACAAATCAAATTATTACCAGCAGAGCAGGACAGAACAATTTTACCTCTTGAACGAGAGACAGACAAACTTCATGCAGTCGGCCTTGAAGTGTGTCTGAGTGGTTGTAGGCCAGAGAGCGCAGGAACATTAGACCCTCGATCTTCTTTTCCCTGGAAGGAAAACAAACATTAAATTAAAACTTTCTTTGTTGACAAACTTCAAAAATGCCAGGACAGAATCTGTTGAACCAAGTTATCAAATCTCCAAGACAGTATTAATAAAGCTTAACTGAGTGCCGTTACTGCGAGAAGATGAAGCGTTTCTCACCAGTCCTCTGAGCTCAGCAAGTTGAAACTCTGGGTCAGCGCCAGGTCAGGCTTTGAAAAGGGACAAAGATCTGGAGGCTCCGAGAGATTTTTCTTTCTTATTGTAGCGTGGCACAGTTCATCTAAACGTCCAGTTAGACACCAAAAACAGAGTCACAGGTTACATCCCACACAGGCTCTAATCAAGCAGTGGCTGTGTGATCAGCCAGCATCGCGTGAAATGTTTGTGTCTTTTCAGTTAACGGACCTGAACTGTGAGAAGGTCGGGTTCTGGTGAGGCTAGGCGCTCTTCTAAGACGGGACACATTTTTTGGGTTAGGAGGCACTGCAGGGGGGCTCGGTTGGTGGGGTGGGGTGAAGCGCTTTCTTGGACTTTGAGGGCTGGCAGGACTGATGGGGGACTCGTCAAAGAGAGGGTCCGCTTTGGTAGACGACGTCAGTATGCTGCCATTCAGATGTAGATCTACAAGAAAAAACATATTTTACAAATATATGATGCAATGTAGACTGAAATATATTGGGTTGTAGGAAACTAGGAATAAGGAAGATATTTGATTTTAGGTGTAAAAATATCATGCCTTTCATGACTTGTTCTTTATTCTGTTCTGTAGGTGAATCAGAAAACATCTGTTTGACACGGAGGCGAATCTTCTCTCTCATTTGGTCCTCTTGTCCCTCTGGTTGATCGAGTTGCTGTTGCCTCGTTTTATCTCGACCAGTCCTCACATTCTTCATCCTCCCCTGCACATTTTAACGAGAGGGGGGCAAGACTCCTGTCACTGGAACCTTTCAATGTATGAATCAACATTGATACCAAGTGTGACTAACTTTAGCCTGATGTGAATTGTTGTCGCTGTCAGGTTGACTGCTGTAAATGCCTGCTGAGGAATCACTGGAAGGCTTGGCTGCCAGATCACCCTGCTCAAGTGACAGAACAACTCCAGGAAAGTCGGAGGAAGCTGCAAACATGCCTAAAAAGTGAGGGGGACATGACTTAAAATTAGTTTTTAAGTATGGAAAAAAAGATATTTCTAAAATCCATGTTTTATTTATCATCAGGATCTGACCTCTTCCTATCACTCCGTCAGGCATGTCTGAGCRAGGTGAGTTCCTACTGTTGATGTTACTCTGGAGTCCTAAAAATCAAAAAGAGAGAAGAAGAGAAAACTGATACAAAGAGTATACAGAAAATGAACTTGGCACAAAGAGTAAAGAAATGTGTGTTTGGTAGATTATTTCTATGTTGTAACAARGCTTCTCAACAATAAGTCTTWTATGTTGGAAAGCCTGTTAATTTCCCTTTTAAATGAAGCCAAATTTGTAAGGAACATGCATTTGTGAGATGAGCATTGAAGCTCAGCATGTAGGTTTTTGCCAACTCTTCTCTGCCAAACAACCTATTTTGTTCTTTCTGGTGCCTCCAAGTGCTGCCAATCAGGTGCCCAGTGTAAGATTTARTACCAAGAAGCACCAAAGAAATAATCTATCAAACACAAATTTCCTATATATAATTTAGTATATAATTTTCTGACCTTTAGGAAGCTTTAAAGCTCTGACTGATTCARGAACGGCCGGTTTGACCAGAGGAGGCGACGGACCCGTTTTCTCTTCCTCGGTTTTGATTGTACCYTTGCAACAAGAAACCCTCTGCCCGACGACACCCACCTCAGATGGCAGCTCAGTTCTCTGGGACATTACTTGAAAAGGTAGAAAATAAACACAAAAGATAGAAAACAAGGCTGCAAAATGAGCAGAACTCATTTAATTTKTTTTATACCTTGAAGGCCACTGAAGTCCATAGACACTGAAGACCTCAGTTTGGAAGAAGGCACTCTTGCAATGCGAGGTTTCATTACAGAAGAGGCAGAGTTTCTGGGACTGTTGACAGACATGACAAGTAGGAATATATGCAGGAAAACTAACTACCGTAAACAGTTTGAAAAGACATCGAACCTTTCAGCCAGTCTGTGATCTTTAATATTTAACACAACAAAGAGAACCTTACGTTAAGTTCCAGCGTAAAGCAAGCTTTATTCAAATTACACATAACCCAGGCAGAGCGACAAGTTATTAAATAATAAATGAAAGAGGTGACAAAATGGGGATCTCTGACCTGGTTTTCATGCCACTGAAGCCAGAGTTGGCAACTGAGCTCAGACTGGAAAGTCCACTCTCACTCGCTGAGCTGGTAAGCACTGGAGAAGTGTGTGATGGTGAGTCCAGACCCAAGTCCAGCCTGACAGCTGAGTCAGGGCTGTCTGGATCTGGACTGTTGTGGCTCACTTTGGCCCTCTTCTTGGCAGCGCTATTCCTCAAAGAGCGCAGGGAGTTCAGCATCTGTCAGCAACGTACAAGTTAGCACAACAACCACTTMGCTTTAACACGCTGGACTGCAGACAGTTTGTTGTTCTGACCTCCTGCATGTCTAGAGGTTCATCTTCTTGAAGATCCTGCCAGGCAKCATCTGGGTCCATCTGCTGGTTCTGAGGGCTGGCTGAAGTATTGGATCTCTGGCCATTATGAGAATGGCCTTGWTCTGSTGGAGGGAAAACTGGYGAGATGGAGAAGGTGGCTCTGGTGTTGCTCAACGCTCGCCTGAACGATGAGGCGGAAGAGGAGCTCAAGAGTGGGGCTCGAAGAGGCCTGGGAGACCGCCTGTTGGAGAGTTCCTCTAAGATAGGCAAGAGAAAAACACATCTAACCTCAAACAAATACAAAAACTTTAAATTCCACAAACTAGCCACGTCTGAAGTGTCGTGCTGCTGTGTTACCGTTAGCTGTGCCTGCTTTCTCTGACCAGGAGCTGGTTTCTCCCTGATGGGGGCTGCTCTCTCTCTTGTAGGGCCAGGTGTTTGACATGGAGACGGAGGAGTCTGCGTGACGACGGGACAGAGTCGGGGTAAGCATGACCCCTGAGCGTGTAGCCAGAGGGTAGGAGGGCAGAAGGAAGGAGCCAGGCGTGGAAGGGTTTGAGGGGAGGGAAAACGTTCGCTCAACACTGGTGTTCTTCGAGAGCATACGTCCTTTGGATGCCACTATGAGATATTTCATTGACAAATCAACCCCAAAAAATAACTTTAAATAACTATAAAAATACAATCTTGGTTTAAACTTAATAAATTATCACTAAATTTGGAAAAAACAAATTATATGATATTCAGTAATAGAAAAAGAACAGTTGATGTTTCATTTAAAGTTGATGGTGTGGAGATCTGTAAAGTTGGTGAG